AAAATTCCCGACACGATGCGTTTGTGAACGTGATCCTGATTTACCCAAAGGCGGTTTTGACCCGTCGCTGATCCCGGAAGCGACCGCTTATGGCCTCGTTGATGCACGTATACCCTACGTTCCTTGGAATTTCGATAGCCACATGAAGGAAAACCTTAAATGTTAGGAGATAAGAAAGGTTGTTCGTTTATGTGTTCTTCACTCGGCTTCCCTCCTTGGATCTGATAACACTGTGGATGGGTTTCTTCCATCCTGTGAAATACCATTCGTCCTCACTCCTTTCCCCACCCTGCAGCATGCAAAAGCTTTTTCTCCGCCAGCTCCTCGAGGCTACTCTTCGTCCTCCTTCTTCCTCGTCTACCTGCTCACACTCTCCATCCCTCACTGCCTCTTCCTCCACGTCATCGCCTTCGATTGTTTACGTTTGGAGAGGGACGGAGATACCAGAGCGAGTGTGGGTGCAGGCACGTATCGGGAACAATGCGCCAAACCACCGTGCACACACCGTCATGCACATTCTCTATACTTACATTGATGATGTGCCTTGCGTTTCACATTCTTCCACAGGGCACAGTGGTCGATGTGCAACCTGACCGGCTACGCTTAGATGACAGCACCGCCCTCCTCAATGTCGTCCTTACTGATGTGGTGGTGCCCATCGACATAAGAAAAGGTGAATAAGAGAGGGATGAATACAAAAAGGACAGTAAACAAGAAAATGCGCGTCTTGCCACGGCAAGAGATGCTATTCGAGCGTTTGGATCCGGCTTCATGGCCTTTCTGGACACCGACCCCGCCTCTTCTTTCCTCCCTTTCACGTGTCTTCTCCCCCTACCTCTTTCTTTCCATTCCTCCTATCCTATATACCTCAGGCCAGTACCTCTTGATCATCGGTCGCCCCTACGACGAGTTCTGCCCCATGCCCGCGGGGAATTTAGGACCGGAAAGGACACCGCACCGCCAGGCACAGCGCGTCGTGATGGCCCACCAAGCCATTGATCTTTCTCAGGCCGACCCGTTGAGGGAGGCGATGTGGAACCTGGAGGTCCTGCATGCCTGGGGGAAGGAAGCCATCCCCCTGTCGGCATGAGTCCTCGGGTAGGTCTGGCTGTCTCTGTAGGCATCGTGTATACAAGCAACCTTGACAAAGTACGGAATAAACGGCCTCAGAGGAGGGGAACGGGTTATTTTTGAAGCCCTGTAAGATCCCTGTTGGCGTCTCTTTCTCTGTGTAGTCTCTTTCTCTTTGTACATGATGTAAAATAAGCGGACGTAACAAAGGGCACAAAACAAAAGGCGTAGAGAAGGAACACGCTCGTCGCGTCGATGCTTTCGACGCAAGCCATTCATTCAATTTCTCCCTCCTCCTCTCACGGATCAACCTCAGAATTTGCCTGCCACGTATGGATGTGCCCTTCTCACTGTCGAGCCCAAGTCTATCCAAAATACTCGGCCGTCACGTAATCGTCGTTTTTCTTTTTTTGTTTCTTCGTCGATGCGAGACATACGTCGTCAGTCCCACATGGCCCCTTGCTCCTGTGTGACGCTCGTCGTCGCATCGTATATCTGTCTCGCTTGTGGACGACGCCATCCCTCTTGCCCGTCGTGACATGTCTGTTCCCGAGGAAAATCGCGGCCTCTCTCAATTACTGAGTCTTTTTTATCGATTCAAATTTAAATGACTCCCATATAAGCATTTGTACTTCATTCACATCCCCATTTCTCTCATTTTGTAGGTCCGGCAATCCTGACCATGATGACTATGTAGTCTTTCGTTGCTCCCTGACGAATGTTGACAAAGAAACAGTAGGAAGGACGCTTAATGCCACCCCCGACGACCCCAGCCACCCCGACCACTCCAGCCACCTCGACGTCCCCAGCCCCCGCGTCCCCACCCGCGGCCCCAGCCGTAACCTTTCTTCTTGTAGTAGCCTTTGTCCGCTTCCTCCCTGTCTGTTTTTACAGTCGTCATTTTCTCCGCCTCCGGTTGGGAAGACACGGAGTCCAACATGTCGGTGGGACGCATAGCGTCCTTGACATTTACTTTATTGTGGTCATTGGCAACTTCGTTTTGTCCTTTGGAGCCGCCGCGCAGGCTGGGACTGACAACGGACAGGGCGTCTGTAGCCTCAAGCGTATTTGAGGCCTCTTGCGCATCGGCCACGTGGAATGTCAAGAGGAGAAGACAGAAAGCGAGGTAGAGAACACGACATGAACGATAAGTGTTCATTTTGATGGTTGGTCTTGAAATTTTGGTTGAGGCTTTAAAAGCTTACATATTTGTCGGGAAAGGAAAGAAAAGCAAGCGTAAGTTGGATATTAAGAAGACTTTGCCAAATCGAATACTGCATCTCATTTGACAGAAATGTCTCCAATAGTATGATCTTGTCAGCTGTATTCACTACATGCTACAGCATTGCATAAACAAAGCAGAACAAACTGCTTCGCGGTCCATGTGGTAGAACGGGGATGCTCCTCTTGCAGGTACACGCGGATGACACAGGGAGGAGGTTCATCGAACATAACACGATAACGCACCATGTACAAGGTGCCTCATGCAAGAGGAAAACATGCCATAAATTTGTCCTACAAACAAAGAGAAAGGAAGCACAAGGGAAACAAAAGAAGAGGAAGTGAAGAGTGCCTACACGCAGGCCAAAAACCAGGCTAAATTTTCAGGAGTCCCAAAATTTCAGCCGTTAAGGCCGGGCTGAAAAAAGTCTGTTCCAGGCGAATACTGCGCCCACTCGAAAATTTGAGCCAACCAATGCATAGGCAAGACTGTAGTCGAAAATTTAAATGTTTATGTAAGTTTATTTAGATATAATTGCATTTTAATTCATTGTCATGTCACTGCACGCGTCGCGTCGCGGCACATTTTGTCAAATCATGACCATCTCGGGCACGACCGTCAGCTGTCGCCCTATCTCGGCACGAATAGGAAACGTTGCCCTGCCGCCGCTTGGCCTTTCTGTCGAACCGGGCGCAAATTGAAACGATGCGGCACATTTTCCTGAGCGGGTCGGAGGCAAAACCTTACTTCTTTTCCTTTTTCGTCGCATCCGTAACCATTCGTGTCTTTTTCTACAACGTGTCGTACATTTCTGTCTGGGTTGCAGTTCAAAGGTCCTCTTCTACTTCTTCCACGCAAATTCGATCCGTTCACATCTTTTCCTTTTCATTTTTACAGGAGGAACAAAAGTGATATGGGAGAAGCTTATGGTGACAATAAAAGTGATGACCTTGGAATAAGTGGTGTGACGGATGGAGAAGTAGATGACAGCGAGGCCTTTTTATTGGAAAAATCGGCCTGGGCAGGCCCGTCGCCCTCGTCGAAAACACCCAATGACGATAAATTGCTTACTCCAGCAAGAACATCTCCTCCAGATCAAGCAACTGTGCAACCCTATTCTAGTTGTTGGCATCGTCTCACTCCTTATTACGCCCTAGTAACACTCGGAGCTTTATACCTTGGTGCCCGGTCATACATACATTCTCAGCACAACTCGAGTCCGCCTGATGCCATCATGAATATTTCATTCAACAGTTCCTCGCTGAGAAGTAACTCATCATTTTACACCCAAGTGCTCGATCCAAATAAAAACATTCACCCGCCGGTCAAGGTAATTGAGACCTCCCGCTTACCTGAAGTGCCATCTAGCAGTTATCACAACCTGTCGCTTACTCCCTCTTCCAAAGCCGCTGACATGCCACCCTCTCCCTCATCAGCTCTCTCCAATTCGACTAAGATTTTACTACGTGATGGTCGAAATGCATCTGGTACCCAGCCAAAATCGATGTCGTCCTCCTCTTCCATGCCTTCCGTTCCTCCAGGCGCCTCTCCCCCCAACTTCATATCATCCTCGACTTCTCATGCCTCTATCATCTCACCTTCGGGTTCGGAACCCACCCACGACTTGGCCCAAACTCCTTTACATATTCAAGCTTACAGTGCTGACTACGGAGCAATAGCTGAAGAGACTCTGCAGCTTTATGGCTGGGATATGATCATTGAGGCAAAACGTCCTACGACCCTGCGTGTCCTGAACCCTCTCCACACACTAGATTCAAGTCCACAGTCAAGTCCTCCCACCCGTCGCACCTCCTCCAGTAGGTATCATGATTTTGAAGATATAACGTACGATTTCGAGGTTCAAGAGGAGGGTGGTAACGTGGTGTTCTCTCGCCGTGGCGTCGGCCGCCTGGTTCACGATGTCACCTGCACCCAGGCCGGAAGCACGCTCACCGTCCAGGTTACCGAGCGCCCTTCCTTCCGAAGCTACCGGACCTTCTCTGCCGTTTGTAAGGAGGTGCGGCGCGAAATGCGGACATTGACGCGGGACGATCGTCAGACGTACCTGGAGAGCCTTGACATCTTTTACCGAATACCTCTAGCAGACGGTCGGGCGCGTTACGGGCCTCGATTCGCAAACAATGCGCTTTTGACCGCTGCGCACAGCAGTGAAATATGGTGCTTGCATGATCCCAACCAGTTTATGGCTGTCCACTCTGCTTTTATGCACTGGGCGGAGCAGAACATGAAGCGGATCAGTGCCGTGGAGAGTGGGGAAAAAAGCGAAGCCGACGGAAAGAGGCAACCGGTTGTGCTCAATGAGACCGCTCCATTACGTTCGGTCGGAGAAAAATCAGCACATGTCCCTCACCTTGCCTTGGGCGCTATCCCCTACTGGGATTTCCATATTGACACCCAGACGCTTGGTTCCACCTGGTGGTGGGGCAACCCGTTCTTTCAAGCCGACGACAACGAAGGGTTCGGGCCCATAGGGACCAGTCCCACCACTAGTCATGTCGTGGAGGGAAGCGGTCGCTTTGCCCGGATGCCGATGGTGCGAGCGGAAGATCTGCCGGAAGACGTGATGCGGGCGTACGATCCCGGTGTGGATGCTTATGGATTTGTCACGTCCAAATCTTTTACTTTGAACTCCAGCCCTTTTGTCACCCGCAGTGAGACTGTGTGCGGCTTGCCCATGGCCCTGCCAATGGCACCGGCGCAGAACCTCTTTGACTGCTACGACAGCTTTAATACGTGGAAGGAAGCCACCTCCTGCCTGTACATGCAGGTACATCTGCAGCTACACTCGCACTTTGGAGGCGGTGCTTGGAATTGTGGGGTCAACCTGAAGGAGTTTCAAAAGTCGTTTCCCCAATACTCTTCCGAGCTCCTCTCTTTTTTAGGCGTTTCAGGTCGTGCTCAAGACTTGAGAGGGTTCCGGGAATGCGATAGGGAAGCTGGTCGCTGCCATTGTCCCGGACTGGACTCGGAGAACATGCCATATTACAAATTGTACCGGCTTCTCGCCAGCGATTTGCGCCAAGTCAGGCGAGCTTGGCCTGGAGAATTCTTCTTGGCACCCTACCGAGGGACAGAAGAGCTCCGGTTTTTGAAAAACGACGGAAATTTTCACGACTGGGAAGACCAAGACCGCTTACTGCGGATGGTGGCACGTTTATGGTGCGAAACAGCCGTGAACGGACATTTTGTCTCCATGGCCTCCATCAACGACCCAGTCTTTTATGCTGCACATGTATATTTCGACCGCCTTTCTCATTTCTTGGCCTTGTCACCGGCCTTAATGGAGCGCGGTTTCAATCGAACTTGGAGTGAGGCGGAAGGCGGCGGAGCGGGGTTGCAAGAGAAGGGAGAGGTAAAACATCGACAAAGGGAAGCAGACGATGCTGACTGGGAAAGAGATTTTGAAGGGAGAGGAGAAATCGAAGACGATGTCATGGCAAGGAATCGACAGGTGAGACATAGACGCGGACTGTTGAGGAGACGGGTGGAAGCAGGGGATCGGGAGACTTCGAGCGCCCGAGGAGCAACCCAGCAAGTCGAACAAAGAGATGTACCGGAGGATTGGGAACCCTCCAAAGAGAGCATTGCGTCTGACGGCGAAATGCGCGAATGTCTTGGCGGTCGATACACGGACCCTTCGCCGTTCACGCCGTATCTGATGGCAGCCGCCGATGAGGACGAGGAAGAGAGGGTTGCCAAAGAGCAAGATCTACACCCAGGGCGGCACTACAGCATGAAAGAGATAGACGAGCTCATGCACCCGCTCCACCCGTCCCTTCCCTATGTCTATGATGACCTCGTACATTGGGGAGGGAAGCAATGGGACCCGAGTAGGACTGAGTAGCAAAATTTCAGCGCGTGAGATATTGTATTGTAAGAATGAAAGACCATAAGCATCAAGGGCGATGTGTAAAATAAAAGCAAAGGATTAATAAGATGTAAACAACGATTGCAATTGCAGTAATGGAATGTAAACATGGCCTTGCGGAGCTCTTGGAGGGCATCCTTAAATGGCCATTGATGCGCTCTCATCTGACGAGCGTGGCCTCATGAAATTATCCTTTTTTTCAATGTTTCTAATCTTTCTCTCCAATTTTATGGAAGGATCCACGCAAACGACGGCAGCATCCTGTCCCAGTCACCCCATGCCCCCCCCCGTATTCGCCATAGTCTATGTATCTACCGTAGCCTCCATACCCTCCGTTGGCATAGTTACCCCGACCATATCCATCGTAGGCACCGGAGTAAGGGCCATTACCCCTCCATGCATAAGGATCGTATCTCATCCCATATCCTCCCTCACCCAAACTTCCTCCGAGACTGATGCCGCCCCCATTCCGGCCTTTGTGCCAGTAGGCATTGATGAACCCATCTCCGAAGTATAACTTTGAAGGGGGGTACCCTCCCCCGCCATAGTATTGCTTGTCTATTATGGAAGATAGATCATCACTGGACCCCGTCACTCCTTTCGAGAACATCCCCTCCGCACTTAAATTGTCGCTTGTCTTTTCCTCCTTTGTCTTTATATCTTTCTCGGGCACGAATACAGGGCCAGCTTCAAATGTTTCGCCCTCCGAGTGAGTTACTGCGGCGATATCATTGACGTGAGAATCTGGTTTGGGTCCCTGAACTTTGAAGGGCTGGCTGTTATTGATGCTGACATCGCTTTTTTGGCTAGCTTGACCTACGTGATCATGTGTATCAATCTGATTTTCTTGCCCTGATGGTTCCAATGGCTCCACATCTTCCCTTTGCGCTTCTTCTTGGAGGAGTCGTTCATGGCCTGCAATGTCTTCAGAGGCTCTGCTATTTTCACTACGCCTTTTATCGTCATTGATGGTTCCACCTCTTTCCTGATCGAAAACATCCTTGTGCCCCGTCCATACGTAAGGGAAGTCATGGCGGTGATCCCAGCCATAATCCGGCCAATACTGGGAGTCAGCGAGAAAAGGATCTGGAGGATAGGGATAACTGCTATGATAATTGCTTCCCAGGCCATTCTCGTACCAACCAGCGCCATATCCTATGAAAATTTGCTTGTTCGCCTTTGTTGTAATTGTCTCTTTAGGGTCAACATATTCTGAGGGCGCTGCGGTAGACAGCGTTTTCGTGTTTTCCAACAGTGTATGACCCTGGATTTCCAATGCATGTCCAGCGAATGACAGTACCAATAAACAAAGTGAGAGGGGAAAGCTGGTGCCTTGGGGAGGTTGTTTATCTACCATCCTGGCCGGCGATGGTACTCTGTGCTGTGAAGGAGCAACGAGACATGGGAATAGATGATGCAACTTCCTAGTGCGCGAAAAAATCTAACTTCGAAGGATGCTTTCATGCTGTCACGTGCCATGAACACATTACATTTAGTTTTTCACGTGCCTCAGCTTGACCGCTGGATGTTTGAAATTTTGAAATTTTGAAAGAAATTACGGAAAAAGTAAGGAAACGACTGCAAGTTTTGCTATATGATCTCTTTGTCCTCATTGCTCCGTATCCTCATGATATAATGTATTCTACATGCTTTTTGATTCTCTTCTGGCCGGGAAACAAGTTCGTTGCTCGGGAGTCCTATATTACAGGTATGAAGACACTGGCGTCCTTTACGTCTTTCCCTTCCCTCGAATGCACCTTTTTTCTATTTCGCGCCGCGAAAATGCATTTGCTTTGAACGCTTGATAAAGCCTCCTATTCCTTTAAAGGGATTACATGCAAACATGCATACAGCCTACTGTGCTGATATTGTTTGACAAAAACCCACGATACCCACCTTCTCGAGTCCGTGCATACCTTTCTTTTGATTACAATGCTACACCAGTTACATTCACCGGTTCCACGTACTCTCCTACATCCTTACAACCTCCTGTTGGAGGCAGGCAGTGAGCATGTAAACCTCATGTTTGTATCATGCCCGACATGGCTTTGCCCTTTTCTTTCCCCTCCCTCCACAATCGCGTCATTCCCCAATATGGGGGCAAGTGCACCTTAAGGCCACTCGGGTCCACACGTGACAACAGAAACCTAAAACGCTCAAAGTGACCCGGCATGTAAAAATTTTCAGGAATGAATGACGAGTATACAGCAACGGCACGGAATCCCCACCACAGACCGCCCACCACATGACAAAAAAAGACGCGAGGAAGGGAGGGAGGGAGGGAGGGAGGGAGGGAGGGAATGTCCTATCCCCGGAGGGACTGGAGGAAGCGCCCCACGGCCCTGACGTCGTCGGTGTTGAATCCGAGGCGGATGAAGGATCCATGCTCGGGGTACCTGCGTTATGGCCGAGAGGAAGGAGGGGCGAAGGGAGGGGTACAGGGGCAGGGTAAGACAGTCTGGAGGTCCCACGGGGTTGGCCTCACTTCACCCGCCGAGGGGAACACATCAAGGGGAATGACCACATGCTAGTCTCCCCTCACAAAAGGGGGGCACCATATGATGAACGGAAGGCTTGAAAACCACGTTTTCATCTCACCGCTCTTCGTCTCCACCCGCCAATCGCCAGAGTTTTTCCGCCTGGGGGAGGCCATCGTGGTTGATGTGGGAGGGCATGGCTGGCTGGACGTAAAAAACCGCGCGGGCTTCCAGGGGGCGGGAGGAGGGGG